GGCCTCCTCCCCGGGCCTCCGCACGCCCGAGCGGGGGCGGGAGCGAGGGGCTGGGAGGGCAGCGGGGCCGGGCGGACCTTACAGTAACCCTGCGGGAAGCACTCCCTGCCCGGGCCCCCAAGGTCCCGATTTGGCACTTTCCCTCAACCTGAGGTGCCAAGATGGCGGCGGCGCTACAGCACCGGGAGGGAAAAGGGGACGGGAATGCGGGGAGGGTGGGACATACCATCCCCACCCCGGGGGAGAGAGGAGGAGCACAGCTAGGGGAAAAGGAAGTCCACCCTGGAAAACCAGGGAACGCCCCCTCGCTCCACCCCAGCGTGGATCTTCCCACTCCCCTGGGCCGAGGGGCGTGCCCCACCCGCGAGGCACGCCCCTCTCCCTCAGGGCCAATGAGAGGGGCAGGCCCAGAACCCTCAGATTTTATGAATGGGCCCCGCGCCCACCCACCTGCCGCTTAGCCAGGCCTCAGCTGGCCTAAGGGTCCAGAGATGAATAGTACCTGGAGCACACCTATCCTAATAATTGTCTCATTCTCTGGCTTGCTTCATAAAAATTTAAACTGACCACGCTTTGTTACATAATTCCTCGGGGAATCTATACATTCGACACAAATCACGGGTCAATATATTGTGTAGGAGAATATGAACTCAGTACCATGCACATGGTTTGTTCTTTACACAGTTGCAAAAATAAATACAGCCTTTATTACCAAGTAATTAAGAAAAGAAAAGCAGCCAGGTGCCGGTGGTGGCTCACACCTAGCTACTCAGGAGGCTAAGATCTGAGGATCGAGGTTCAAATCCAGCCAGGGCAGTAAAGTCTGTGAGACGCTTTATCCCCAATTAACCACTCAGAAAACAGGAAGTGGCAGAGTGGTAGAGCGCTAGCCTTGAGCTGAAGAGCTGAGGGATAGCACCCAGGCCCAGAGTTTCAAGACCCACAATGGACAAAAAAAACATAATTAACAATGGCATAGGGCAGCAGGATGAGATGATTAACTGAATGTTACATTCATTTTAAGCAGAACTAAGAATTAGTAGAACAAGAAAATAGCCCATGTATTGTGTGGACCAAGAGTGTTTAGGTGCTGGGCTGAGATTTGAAGTTTATAGACTCCCAGGGCAGAGAAACCCAAAAGACTCTTTTTAGCTCCAACAAATGCTGTGATTAGAGGTGTGGCTCAAGTGGGAGAATGCCAGTTGAGAGTAAAAAAAGGGTGAGGGCTCAAGGCCCTTATTTCAAGTCTGGTACAAACGAGGGTCTCTGATGGAAAAGAAGTAGACACAAGTGGCCCCTTGAGTCTTCTTTATGTAACATTTGACAAACGTTAGCAAACAATGGCTAAAAATCTAGAGTTGTAGCAAAGTTATTACATGATTTGAAAAAGCCATGAAACATTTTGTTTTCTTTCAGAATACTTGCAATGTGGTTGTGACTCCTAAAACCATTTGGCTACCCCCACTGCACTAATCTCCTTGGAGACAAAGCACTAGAATACACAGATACATACTCCAGATACTATCAAAAAACCCAGGCTCTTCAAAAACCTGCCTGATTCAGAAAGAAAAATAAAGCTGATGTGCTTTACTGTTAATCATTCACTTTTCCATACCTAGGTAAAATCACTAACAAGACTGTCTCACAAAACTTTTTTTAAAAAAGCATGTAAAAAATTATACATTTGTACATATATACATTGTATTTTTACAGTTAAGAAGATAACAATTCATTATTCGTTTAGGGTTTTTGTATTGTTTTTCTCTTCCAGGTTCTTTATCACTCTCTTGGATCTGACTTAACCTTAATGCTCCTGCCACATTTACTAAATTAAGTAAATGTTCACTTATCCTCATAGGCACAATCTGTCTGGGTAGCTCTGGAGAGAGTTCTGATGGTCTACATGTAGTAAGGCGGTGGAATGGGACTATTGACACAGGTGGGAGTTAAGATGGGGTACAAACATCCACATCCAGGAAGTACTTCCAGAGCAGGATGAGTATTCACCCCAGGACTAACTATACAATGTCCACCCATAAAACATAGTCAAAACCCACGAAGCACCCAATCGAAGTTACCAAAGTTCCCCTAATCAAGTCACACTGGTTCTCAAAAGATGAAAGGTATTTCAGGACAGAGGTCACTTTGAACAGTGGTGGGCTAACATCTATAGAAGTCATTCAAACTCTTATAAAGAGAATTTTTAAGGGGTCAGCAGCCTCCCTGGAAACATCAGGAAAGCCAGTAAGAGAGGAGATGATGTTCATCTTTTCATAAAGTTCTTCTCCAGAGCTACTGAGGTTCTCTGTAGTGAATGGATGTTCCTCTTCACTCGGTCCTCCAAGGAGGAAGTACTTGCACTCTCTAGCTTCAGGCGGCTAGAAGAGAAGACAGGCAAAAGACATTTTCAACATGGTCAACTCTCTAGCAGAATTAGGAGAGAAACAGGTTGGTAGCCATAAAGCAGCTGCGGAAACACAAGCTCTTTTCAGCCCACACAGATAATTTTCAAGTGACTCCATCTGGAACCAAATCTTTTTAATGCCCATAAGGGAAAATTCATCTGTTTTGGAAGTCAAGAATCTCATTGGAAAAAGGTTTTCTGAGCCATAAATTCTTTATAAGAAAAAAGGCCAAGGAATTTCAGTAACTTAGGAAAAAAAAATTCACTTCTTTAAACAAAAAACTTCCTATCATATGACCAGAAGCTAGAAGCAATAACAAAGATAGTCTGGAGGCTGAGCTCTAGGGTTTCCAGAGCAGATACTGAAACACATTGGGACACCAAGAATCCTACTAGAATGTCTTTGAGACAATGCCTCTGGGCAGAAAGAAGATGCACTTACTGGATGAACTTCCCATCCCGGGAGTCTAGCTTCTCCAGCCTCTGTTCCCGTTCCTCTTCCTTCGCGTGCCTCTTAAGGATGTTCTGCCTCTCTTCCTCCCTCCACTTAGCATTTTCCATCATCTCCTGCCGTTTCCGCTCTAGTTCCTCTGCTGAGAGTTTTCTGTTGAGCACAAAAACCATCAGTTCTACTTCTCTTCCAGCAAGAAATCAAAAGCAGGCTGGGAAGGTGGCTCAGTGGTAGAGCGCATGCCTTGCATGTCAGAGGCCCTGGGTTCGATTCCTCAGCACCACATAAGCAAAAAAAGAAAAAAGCCGGAAGAGGCGCTGTGGCTCAAGTGGTAGAGCGCTAGCCTTGAGCTGAAGAGCTGAGGGACAGCGCCCAGGCCCAGAGTTCAGGCCCCATGACCGGACCCAAAAAAAAAAAAAAGAAATCAAAAGCAGTATACACAGAAAGAGGTCAGGAAGGAACCCAGGCCCTTCAATTCATGGCTGGCTCCAAGGAAATGCCCTGCCCATTACTACACCAGCATGAGTTTTCTTCCTTTTAACCTCCCAGTCAGGGAGTTTCAATTTTTAGTGAAGGATTTCATAATCCCACTCAATAATCTCTTTGTTCTGAAACAAAAAAAAATATGAAATAAGATGAGAACTAGTCAGGTGCCTAAACTTAGGGTAATTATATCTCTATTACTCAACAATTATTATTTTGTTGTTTTTGTTGTTGCTGTTGTGGGTCTTGAACTCTGGGCCTGGGTGCTTTCCCTGAACTCTTCAGCTCAAGGTGAGTGCTCTACCACTTGAACCACAGCGCCACTTCCAGTTTCCTGGTGGTTAATTGGAGATAAAGAATCTCATGGACTTTTCTGCTCGGGCTGGCTTTGTCAATCCTCATATCTAAGCCTCCTGAGTAGCTAGGATTACAGGTGTGAGACATCGGCATCCAGCTTACTCCACAATTTATAGAAGAGATTGGGTGAGTCCCATCTCCCCACAAGACATGGCTAAAATTCATGGATGTAGCCCTGGCATTCACTGTAAATGAAGTGAGAGCAAGAAAGGGAGATGATGAAAAAAAAAAGGAAGGAACAAAGGGAGGGAGATGATGAACTGGCTTGTTCACTATTTAATTATCAGACATCCAACCCATTCCTTCTGAAATGGGCATGTGTTATAGTTTATATTTATCATCTAGTATGACAAACAGATTCCTCTTCAAAAGGAAAAAATAACTGAGTGCCAGTGGCTCAGTTATTTTTAAGAGTCTCAGTCCATGAGACTTTCCAAATTAACCACCAAAATGCCAGAAGTGGAGTTGTGGCTCAAATGATAGAGCACTATCCTTGAGCACAGAAGCTCAGGAATAGTGCCCAGGCTCCAAGTTCAAGCCCTAGGACTAGCACAAAAACAAAAACAAAAAATAAAGCTGGGCACCAGTGTGGCTCATGCCTGTAATCCTAGCTACACAGGAAGCTGAGACCTGAGGATTGCAATTCAAAGCCAGCTAGCGCAAGGAAGTCTGTGAAACAAAAAAAATTTTTTTGTCGGTTGTGGGGTTGGAACTCGGGACCTGAGCACTGTCCCTGAGCTCTTTTGCTCAAGGCTAGCATTCCACCACTTTGAGCTACAGCTCTACTTCTGATTTTCTGGTGGCTAATTGGGGGTAAGAATCTCATTGCCAGCGGGGCATTGGTGGCTCACGCCTGTAATCCTAGCTATTCAGGAGGCTGAGATCTGAGAATCACGGTTCAAAGCCAGCCCTCGCAGAAAAGTCCATGAGACTCTTATCTCCAATAAACCACTAGAAAACTGGAAGTGGTGCTGTGGCTCAAGCAGATAGCGCCCAAGCCCAGAGTTCAAGCCCCATGACTGTAAAAAAAAAAAAAAAAAAAAAATCTCATTGTCTTTCTCACCCAGACTAGCTTTAAACCTCCTCTCTCAGCCACCTGAGTAGCTCTGATTACAGGCTTGAGCCATCAGCACCTGGCTCTTGCTTGGCTTTTCATTCAACATAGTGCTCTACCACTTGAGCCATGCCTCTACTTCCAGCTTCTTGCTGGTTAATTGGAGATGAGTCTTTTGGATATGTCTGTCTAGGCTGACTTCAAACCTTGATCCTAGCTTCCACTATCTTTAAAAGTACTTGGTAGGGCTGGGAATGTGGCTTAGTGTTAGAGTGCTTGCCTAGGCAAGCCCTGGGTTCCATTCCTCAGTACCACATAACAGAAAAAGCTGGAAGTGACACTGTGGCTCAAGTGACAGAGTGCTAGCCTTGAGCAAAAGAAGCTTAGGGGTAGTGCCCAGGCCCTGATGAGTTCAAGCCCCAGAATTGGCAAAAGAAAAAAAGTATTTGGTGCCTGCAGTCCTCAAGTCTTCCCTGAATCTGCTAGCTTTTCATCAGTATCAGGTACTTCACATTTACTTTTTTCTAATCTCCATCCTTTGCTTCCATTTTCCAACGAATGATTTGTTAATATATCTTTTCTAGTGTTACCTCCTTTTCCGTTGTCTTTATGGGTGTATGCAGGTCATGTTTGTTTATTTATCCATTTATATAAAAGTTGGTTTGACAAAGAGTCAGATAAATTACCTACTTGCCCTGATGTGAGCTGCCTCTAGATTCAGTTCTATAGAATCGATAGTTAAATCTACTGTACTCTTGGCTTACCTGGTGTATCCAGAAGCATGCCGCCTCTGGTAGACCTCCTTTTTAGGTGATGGGCTCTTACTCTGGGCTCTTTCTCTCCTCTTTCCCTTAGAGCTGTGCCTGTAATGAATGAGGAAGGGAAAAGTCTCTTCAATACAAAAGCATTTTACCCTTATAGTCTTTTTTTCTTTTTTTTGGCTGGGCCTGGACACTGTCCCTGAGCTCTTTTACTCAAGGCTAGCACTCTTACCACTTGAGCCACAGCCCCACTTCTGGCTTTTTTTTTTGTTTATGTGGTACTGAGGAATCGAACCCAGGGCTTCATGCATGCTAGGCAAGCACTCTACCACTAAGCCACATTCCCAACTACCCTTATAGTCTGAAAACTATAATCCAAATGTAAGAGAAAAAGGGGGAAAATCCACCAGCACAATATATTCCTACAAATATGTGGTCTTGGAGGCCTAAAGTTTACAGTGAGATTGAGAAAGGAAATAATACAGCAATGATATTTAGGAAATACAATGATGTGTATGGCTCAAGTAGTAAAAGATGTACCCAACATGCCCTGGGACTCAGGCAGAAAACAAAAACAAAAATAACTGTTATGACCAGTTTCCTGTGACCACAAGCTATTTCCTAATGAATCCCCTTACTCACAGTTTGCTGGGCCTTGGGGACCGCGATCTTCTGCCCAGTGATCGAGACCTCCTATCCCGGGACCCTGGTTCCCTAGTATTCTTCTTGCTGGCATGTCTGGGGGGTGAGTGGGAGGAGCTTCTGGACCTGGAATGGTTCTTCATCCCCTTTTGTTCAGCTATCAGAGAGCTATGCAATCCTTGGGTATGGTCACTGTCCCTGACCTGTATCATTAGGAAAGGAAGGGAAGAAAAATTTTCATAGGACAAGTTAGAGATTCAAGAGAAATTATAGTGAAACAAGGAAAGAATGAGCAATAAGGTTCTCAATGGGGCCAACAGTGATGACAGATAAGCAGCCAAAAGCAGGAAGTTATCTTCAGAATCCCTTAAAAGAATGTGACAAGCTTCAGCTTGTCACTAAAGCCAAAGGAAGGCAAGAGCAAAAGCATAAGGGACAGGATCAAACATACTGATGGAAGTGCTTGGCTGAGGCAGACAGATAGAAAATTCTAGGCCAGTCCAGGCTACATGACAAGTCTTGAGGCTAGCCTGGGGTATTCAGCTAAACCCCATCTCAAAGGAAAGAAACAAAAAAATTCCACCCATGGTAGTACACCATCTGTAATTTCAGGACTAGGGAGACAAGGCAGGAAGATTGTAAGTTCATTCACAGCCAGTCTGAACTACCCAGAAAGTTCCAAGACAGCATGCTCTATAGACCAAAATTCTACCCCATAAAAGTGAAGGGCTGGCCAGACAGTAAGGCTACTAAGGAAGCTGAGATCTGAGGATCATGGTTCAAAGCCAGTCTGGGCAGGAAAAGCCATGAGACTCTTATCTCCAATTAACCACCAGAAAACAGAAGTGGTGCTGTTGCTCAAAGTGTTACAGCACTAGTGTTGAGTGAAAGAACTCAGGGTCGGCACCCAGACCCTGAGTTCAAACCCCATGATTAACAAAAAACAAAAGCAATGTGGCTCAAGTGGTAGCCTTGAGGACAGAGAGGCTCAGGGACAGTGCCCAGGCTGGTGACAGCTCAGAGGTAGAGTACTTTCCCCATATATTCAAAGTTCTGTCTTTGATTCTAGCAATAGAAAAAAGAAAGAAAGAATGCTGCCAGTTGTCCATTGGTCAAAAGTCATCAAACGGTTTATTTCATGTAAATTATCTGCAGAGGGATGGACAGAGTACCTAAATGCTCCACTAGTTATTTCTTCTCTGCAGAAGAGCCCTGGTCATAGTAACAGACTCAGGGATAACGCTTGGGTCTGTTCCCCAATAGCCCAACCTTCGATGTCCAAACTCTACTATGTACAAGTTGTCAATGTGGCATACTACACAGCTCTACAGTCACTCACTCTGAAGAGCCCAAATCCCTACCTGCAGTCCATATCCAGGGACTTTGGAAAAAACAGGAAAAGAATTTGCCATCTTCTTTTGAGACCTAAGAGATCAAAACACAGGTACTCATTAAAAAACAAAATTCAGACAGGTCCATTTTAAATCTCTCATGCTGAAACACATACCCTGCTTCCAACGTGACCTTTCATACCTCCCAGCTATTACTTGGCAATGTGTTTCTCTATTTGGACTGTCTTTGCTGGAAGATGTATCAGCACAGTCAAGTTTTTCCTGTGAAAAGCCGTGGGCCGAACTTCTCAGCCCCATTGCCTGAACACATTCTCCTCTCACCTCATGTTGCTATTCCAGGGACTAATGGTGAGTCAGCAGCAGCAGAGCTGACTGTTCCCATGGGGAAGACACAGAATGGGCCCACACGGCCCCATTAATCCATTAAAAAAAAAAAAAAAAGCCTACATGAAACCCAGTTCCATCTTGAGGACTCAAGTTGAGTTCAAAATAGTCACCCCAGGTCTGACCTAAGATCCACTGGGCTAATGCCAGATCACTGAGGAGGTCTCTCTGCAGTAGCACACCAAGAGACCCAGCCACATTTAGCATCCCAGGGAATTCTAGTACTAGCCGACCAGCTCTGTGGCATGGGACTATCTTAAAGTATTCAGCACTGAACTCCCTCCTGTCTGGCACTTGCTGGCACAGGGCAGGTGCTTAGTCTGCTCATGGAGTGAAGGAGTGAATGAACAAGAGAGGTATGCTGGCCTCTGCGTGCTTACCTTCCTCGACTATGTTCATCCTCACTGCTGGACCGACTACTGCTTGAACTTCTGTGCTTGTGTTTCTTGTGTTTCTTCTTCTTCTCCTTCTTTTTCTTCTTCTCCTTTTTCTCCAGACTCATTTGCAACTAGAAAATACCGAGAACATACCATACAATATTACTACAACTCCTGTGAGTCGCCCCCTGTGCAGGCATTGGGGGACTGATGTACAAATATGACTTCCTGCTGTACACAGGTCCAGAACATTACTACAGGGTCCTTGACAACAAACCTGGTTATGCAAAAATGTACCCTAGACTCACCAACAGAAGCTCTGAGAGGTAAGCAAAGAACTCCATTGCCTAGGAGTTGCCATTCTTCCCATTCAAAACACCTCCAACTCTACTAAAAGCAATCAGGGACTGTAAAGTCAACCTTTAATTTTCTTTTTTTTTTTTGGGTCCGGTCGTGGGGCCTGAACTCTGGGCCTGGGCATTGTCCCTCAGCTCTTCAGCTCAAGGCTAGCGCTCTATCACTTGAGCCACAGCGCCACTTCCGGCTTTTTTCTTTTTGCTTATGTGGTGCTGAAGAATCGAACCCAGGGCCTCGAGCATGCAAGGTAAGTAAGTGCTCTACCACTGAGCCACCTTCCCAGCCCAACCTTTAATTTTCTTTAGCAACTGATTAAAAAAATCTAAAACCAGGGGTGGTGGCTCATGCCTGTAAACCTAGCTACTTAGGAGGCTGAGATCTGAGGATCGTGGTTCAAAGCCAGCCCGGGCAGGAAAGGCTGTGAGACTCTTATCTCCAATAAACCGCTCAGAAAACCAAAAATGGCACTGTGGCTCAAGTGATAGAGCACTAGCCTTGAGCTGAAGAGCTAAGGGACAGCACCCAGGCCCAGAATTCAAACTCCACAACCAACCAAAAAAGAAAAAAAAATCTATAACATGTGACTAATAAATGATCCCTGGAGCTTTATAACAGAACCAAGGACATACTCTGGTCTCTTGAACAAGCCATGATCATACTTTCTACAGACCTATCATATACCTTCCTTTTTTCTCTCTCTCTCTCTGTCTCTCTCTCTCTGTCTCTGTCTGTCTGTCTGTCTGTCTGTCTGTCTCTCTCTCTCTCTCTCTCTCGCTGGTCCTAGGGCTTGAATTCAGGGCCTGGGCACTGCTCTAACCTTTTGTGCTCAAGGCTAGTGCTCTACTACTTGAGCCACAGCTCCACTTCTGCCTTTTTGATGGTTAATTGGAAATTAACCATTTTCCTGCGTAGGCTAACTTCAAAATGTGATTCTCAGATTTCAGCCTTCCAAGTAGGGAAGATTACAGGCATGAGCCACTAGTGCCTGGCCCATACCTTCTTCTCCTGGAAAAGGGTAACCCATGGTGCTTTTCCAACCAAAAGACAAAAGAGAGCTGGGTGACAGTGGTTTATACCTCTAATCCTAATCACTCAAGAGGCTGAGATCCATAGGATCAAAGTTTGAAGCCAGCCCAGGCAAAAATGTCTAAAATAACCGGGAGAAAAACAGACTGGAAGTGTGACTCAAGTGGTAGAACAACAGTATACCAGTTGTAGCTGAATAAAAACAAGGCTTGAGTTTAACAATACTGGCACACACAAAGTTTTTAAGACTGACTGTATAAATTATAAGATAGGGAACCTGGGCTGGGAAGGTGGCTCAGTGGTAGAGGGCTTGCCTTGCATGCCTGAGGCCCTGGGTTCGATTCCTCAGCACCACATAAGCAAAAAGAAAAAAGCCAGAAGTGGGGCTGTGGCTCAAGTGGTAGAGACTAGCCTTGAGTTGAAGATCTGAGGGACAGTGCCCAGGCTCAGAGTTCAGGCCCCACGACCAGACCCAAAAAAAAAAAAAAAGGAAAGAAAGGGAACCTACTTAACAAGCACACAGACCTGAGATCAAATCTTAGTATCATCCCAATTTTCTTTTTTTGGGGAGGGGGTCAATTGTAGGGCTTAAACTCTAGGCCTACGCACTATCCCTGAGTTCTCAGTTCAAGGTAAGCACTCTATCACTTGAGCCACAGCGTCACTTCTGGTGTTCTGGTGGTTAAATGGAGATCAGAGTCTCACAGACATTCCTGCCCAAGCTGGCTTTGAACCTCGAGCCTCAGATCTCAGCCTCCTGAATAACGGGATTACAGTCGTGAGCCACTAGCACCCGGCACAAAGAAAATTTTGAAGGCCCTTGTTTACTTCCCTATGGTAAGAAGCAGAGAAAAGTTCTCATTCTTACATCAAATAGCTAAAAGACAGGCTGAGAGTGTGGCTTAGTGGTAGAGTGCTTGCCTGTCATGCATGAAGCCCTAGGTTCAATTCTTTAGTACCACATAAACAGAAAAAGCTGGAAGTGCCATAGTAGCGTGGTAGCCTTGAGCAAATGAAGCTCAGAGACAGTGCCTAGCTCTTGAGTTCAAGCCCCAGTACTAGCAAAAATAAAAATAAAAATAAAATAATAGCTAAAAGGCACACTTTGTTACCGACTGGATACGCAACTTACCAATTCTTTGATTTTCTTCATTTTCACAGGATTGTTCAATACTTCTCTTTTTTTCTCCTCTTCTTTTTTCCTAAATGGAGAAAAATATAAAACTCATGACATTTGTTTTTTTGAGTGTGTGCCAATAGTGGGCCTCCCATTTGCTTTGCTTTTTTGCTCAAGGCTGGCCCTCTACCTCTTAAGCCACACCTCTACTTTGAGTTTTTTGGTTGTTTACCAGAATTTAGAATTTGTCTGCCTGGACTGGCTTTCTAGCATGGGCAGGAAAGTTCTTGAGACTCTTATCTCTAATTAACCATTGAAAAGCCAGAGATGAAGCTGTGGCTTAAGCAGTATAACACCAGCCTTGATCAAAAGAAGAGCAGAGCCTCCCTGAGTTCAAGCCCAGGACAAGCACCAAAAACAAAAACATAAACAAAAAACATCAAACATGGAGCCTATAATCCCACCCATGTGGAGGTAGAGATGGGGGAGTCTCTAAGCATCTCTGTAACAAGCCCTTTCCCAGTTCCTGAGGAGTACCTGATGATGAAGAGCGGGTCCTCCCGGATTTTGCTGGCCATGTCAAGAAGAGAATTGGCTCCAGATGGGGCAAAGATAGAGCCAGGGAGGAGTCCTGTCTCAGAAGAGCAGCCAGCCTCTTTTTCCTCCATCTTCTCAAAAACGTATTTGTCAATGGGACGTCCCAGCAGGTACTCATCACGGTTCACCATCCCACCAGGACCCTGATACATCCAGTCTAACTTTTCTTCTTTTTTCCTGGGTGAAGAAAACAAGTAAAAAAATACACATTCCCACCGGGCGCTGGTGGCTCACGCCTGTAATCCTAGCTACTCAGGAGGCTGAGATCTGAGGATCGAGGTTCAAAGCCAGCCCGGGCAGGAGAGACCGTGAGACTCCTATCTCCAATAAATCACCAGAAAACCGGAAGTGGCACTGTAGCTCAAGTGGTAGAGCGCTCACCTTGAGCTGAAGAGCTGAGGGACAGCGCCCAGGCCCAGAGTTCAAGCCCCACGCCCACCAAAAAAAAAAAAATACACATTCCCACAAAAGTGCAATACCTAAACACTTCTTCACACACACACACACACGCACGCACGCACGCACGCACTGAAATGAACTCCAAAGATATGGAAACAAAGGACTTTCTTAATTTTTCTTTTTTTCTTTTTTTTTTCTGCCAGTCTTGGGGCTTGAACTCAGGGTCTGGGCACTGTCCCCGAACTACTTTTGCTCTAGACTAGCACTCTACTGCTTGAGCCACAGTACCACTTCTGGCTTTTTCTGTTTGTGTGGTACTAAGGAACGGAACCCAGGGGCTATATGCATGCTAAGCAAGCACGCTACCATTAAGCCATATTCCCAGCGTGCGCGTGCGTGCGTGCGTACATCTGTCTGTCTGTCTGTCCTGAACTCTGGGCCTGGGCACTGTCCCTCAGCTCTTACTTGAGCCACAGCACCACTTCTGGCTTTTTCTGCTTATGCGGTGCTGAGGAATCGAACCCAGAGCCTCATGCATGCAAGGCAAGCACTCTACCACTGAGCCACCTTCCCAGCCCCCCCCAGCCCGCTTTTTTCTTTTTTTTTTTTTTTAATACTGGTCCTGGGGCTTGAACTCAGGGACTGAGCCCTGTTTTGCTCAAGGCTAGTGCTCTACCACTTGAGCTCCAGCTCCACTTCTGGCTTTTTTATGGTAATTGGAGATGAGAGTCTCCAGGCTGTCTCAAATTTGTAATCCTCCTGCCACTGCCACTGCCTCCCAAGTGCTTTACCAAGTCTTAAAAGGACTCACCAGCTGGGTGCTTGTGGCTCACACCTGTAATCCCAGCTACTCAGGAGGCTGAGATCTAAGGATTGCAGTTCAAAGCCAACCTGAGCAGGAAAGTCTCTCATGATATTCATCTCCAACTAATCACCAGAAACAGGAAGTGGAGCTGTGGCTCAAAGTGGTACAGTGCTAGACTTGAGTGAAAAAGCTCAGGGACAGCGCCCAGGCCCCAAGCTCAAGCCCCACAACTGACAACAACAACAACCTTAACACACATCAGCTTATTGTATCTTCTAGTAAGAGAATACGTTGCAAAGCTGGGATCTGGGGCCATAGTATTTAACTGCTGGTTCCACCAGATGTAACTGGGTGACTGAGCAACTTACTTCTGTCACCTCTATCCTCATCCCTAAAATGCAACCTTAATTAATGTCTGTCACTGATACTCTCATTACTTTGTGGGGTTTTTTTGTTGCTGTTGTGGGGCTTGAACTCAAGCCTGGGAGCTGTCCCTGGGCCTCTCTGTGCTCAAGGCTAGCATGCTACTACTTGAGCCATAGCACCATTTTTGGTTTTTGAGTGGCTAATTGGAGATAAGAGTCTCACAGTGGGCTGGGAAGGTGGCTCAGTGGTAAGAGTGCTTGCCTTCCATGAATGAGAATTCTTAGCCTAAAGGTATCCACCTGCCTCAGCTTATAAGTAGCTAGGACTATAGTTACACACCACTGTGCCTGGCAGCCAAGAGGGAGTAGGTACCCATGGCTCCTAGCCAGGAGGTTGAGATCTGAGGACTGAGGTTGGAAGCCAGCCTGGGCAGACAAATCTGTGAGACTCATTTCCAATTAACCAGCAAAAAGACAGAACTGGAGGTGTTGATCAAGTGGCAGAACACTGTTCAGCTAACACATGTCACATGGATGAGGCACCCACAGTCAGTCCGACAATTCCCCGCAGGCCTGGCCACACAGCTCCTCACTTACTTGACAGCCCCGACATCCTCTGCATATCGCTGCATCTCTTCCCGAGCCCGCTCCTCCCGCAGCTCCCGCTGTAGCTCCTCAATCTTCTTCCGCTCAGCTTCATGCTTCTGCTCAGCCTTCCAGACTTTCTCCACATTTCGGAGGGTTTGTGGATGCCAGCTCTTCTTCAGGTTCTGTGGTGAACATTAGGAGGGAGAATTCAGCAAGTGGTGGTGATGAATATGACTGGTACTGCCTCATTCACTTCTTCTCTAACCCAGGCATGATAAGACACGCATGTAAGAATCAGACTTCAGGCTTGGTGATATAGTACTTACTTAGCATGCATAAGATCCTGGTCCAAGTGCCAGAACAGAAAAAAAAAAAGGGAAAGCAAGAGTTCTTGAACCATGACAAAGTTTGCATTTACTAATAATTCATCCAGGGGTTGGGAAGGTGGCTCAGTGGTAGAATGCTTGCCTCGCATGCATGAGGCCCTGCATTCCATTCCTCAGCACCACATAAACAGAAAAAGCAGGAAGTGGCGCTACAGCTCAAGTGGTAGAGCACTAGCCTGGAGCTGAAGAACTCAGGGACAGCACCCAGGCCCAGAGTTCAGGCCCTATGATTGACCAAAAAATACATAAATAAACAAATAAATAATAATAATAAACATTCATCCAGGGCTGGGAATGTAGCTTAGTGGTAGAGTGCTTGCCTAGCATGCATGAGGCCCTAGGTTCGATTCCTCAGTACCACATAAACAGAAAAAGCTAGGCTCAAGTGGTAGAGTACTAGCCTTGAGTATAGAGAGGCTCAGGGATAGAGCCTAGGCCCTGAGTTTAAGCCCTAGGACCTGCAAAAAAAAAAAAAATCATTCATCCAGATGCCAGTAACTCCTAGCTACTCAGGAGGCTGATATTTGAGTTCTGCAGTTTGGAGCCACCCATGAAGGAAAGTCCATAAGACTCTTATCCAGAGTGAACCACCAAAAGCCCAAAAGTGGAACTGTGACTCAAGTAGTAGTGTGTTAGACTCAAGCACAAAAGCTCAGAAACTGTGCCCAGGCCCTGAGTACAAACTCCAGGACTGGTACACACAAAACCTTTCATATGTGCCAGGGGTGGGGTAGTTGTTCAAGTACATAACAAGGCCTTTCCTAAGTTCCCTTCAGTTTTTACCTACTCCTACTGGTCATCATAAAATGGGAGTTGGTGGTGATAAGGCGTAAGGTAGGGGACAAGGAGAGAGAATGGTATTTATTTTGAAAGGCAAAAGAACTCATTGACATTGGATATTCATTTTTTTTCTTTCTAGTTTTTCTTTCATTTTTGTTTTTTGTATTTTTGTGCTGGTCCTGAGCTTGAACTCAGGACCTGGGTGCCGTCCCTGAGCTTAGGTGTTCTACTTGAGCCACAGCTGTACTTCTGGCTTTTTGGGTGGTAACTGGACATAAAAGTTTCATGGACTTTCCTGCCTGGGTGGCTCAAACCAAGATTCTCAGATCTTAGCCTCCTGAATAGGTAAGATTAAAAGCAGGAACCACTGGCACTCAGCCACTTTTTATTTCTTTCAATTCTTATTTTGTTATTATTTTTGGCAGTACTAGGGCTTTAGCCTAGTGTCTCTCACTCTTGCTTGGCTTTTTTGTTCATGGCAGATCCTCCACCATTTGAGCCACACCTCTGGTATGGCTTTTGGCTGGTTAACTGGAGATTGAGTCTCCTGGACTTTTCTGCTCAAACTGGCTGGCTTCAAAACTCAACTCTCTTTATCTTGGCCTTCTGAGTGGTTAATTGTAGATAAGAGTTTTACGGACTTGCCCTCCTGGGCTGGTTTGAAACTATGATCCTCAGATCTAAGCTGCTGAGATCTCAGATCTCACCAGTACCTAGCTGGACACCTACACTTTTTTTTGTTTGTTTCCCAGAGAGGAGGACAAACTCAGGGTCTGACACTTGCCAAGCAAGTGGTCTTCTACTAATCTAAATCCCCAACTCTTGGATATCCACTCTTATGAATACAATCTTCTGGCTGGGAATGTGGCTTAGTGGTAGATTGCTTGCCTAGCATGCCTAAAGCCCTGGGTTCGATTCCTCAGTACCACAAAAACAGAAAAAGCTGGAAATGGCGTTGTGACTAAAATGGTAAGAGTGCTAGCCTTGAGGAAAAAGAAGCTCAGGGACAATGCCCAGGCCCTGAGTTCAAGCCCCAGGACTGGCCAAAAAAAAAAAAAATCCCTTTCCCAGTGTCCACTTGACTCTCAATTCCTAAGCTTACTTAATTCCTATTAGGCCTATTTTTTTTTCTCTCTCTCTCTCTTTTTTGTCAGTTATGGGGCTTAAACTCTGGGCCTGGGCGCTGTCCCTCAGCTCTTCAGCTCAAGGCTAGCGCTCTACCACTTGAGCCACAGCGCCACTTCTGGTTTTCTGAGTGGTTTATCGGAGATAAGAGTCTCACAGCCTTTACTGTCCGGCTGGCTTTGAACTGTGATCCTCACATCTCCACCTCCTGAATAGCTAGGACTACAGGTGTGAGCTATCAGTGCCAGGCTAGGACTTCTTTTAACTTTGCTTTCCCTTGGTTCTGATCATCCCCTTCACCCTCAAAGATTATTTCTCTGTTCTCTCGTCTTCCTTTCCTTTCCCTTCCCTTCCTCTCTCCATCAACCACTACTTTGGTTCAGCAAGTTCCCCTAAGGCAGCAACATCTAAAGACAGTTCAAAATTAGCCTGGTGAAGTGGGAAAGGGGAGTAGAACGTAGATTTCCAGAGGAAACATTCTTACTGCAGTCCCAGCAGTGAGAAAGAACACAGCATGAATAATTTTGTGTGTCTAGAGGTGGAATGCAAGGTGGTAGAGAAGGGGCACAAGATGAAGACAACTACAAAAGGAACTATTAAGGGCCTTTCAAGCCATGTAAAGAGACTAGACATCTCCAATTAACTACCAACAAGCTGAAATGGAGCTGTGGCACAAAGCAGTAGAGCACAATAGCTCAGGGACAGCACCCAGGCCCTGAATTCAAGCCCCAGGACTGTACACGTACACGCGTACGTATACACACACATCCCATACTAAAGGCAGCGTGTTATGGCCTCAATATCTCCTTCCTCTCCTAGCCATGGTTTCAACTCTCTATCTTCTCAGAATTTCCAACCCACCGGGGTTGAAGAACACAAATACCACCACCACCACACCGGCCAACCTAGCATATCTTTACCGGTTCCCCGGTCCAAACAATCTCCCCCTCCAAGACACCGCCCTCTCCGAGAAATTCAAGACTTCGTTCCCATGGTTACCCACCTCCCTACCTATCTCTCTGTCTGACTCTGTCTCTCTGTCTCTCTGTCTGTCTCTCTGTCTCTGTCTCTGTCTGACTCTCTCTGTCTGACTCTGTCTCTCTCTCTCTCACACACACACACTTCCACCCCACCCCCTTCCGATTCTCATCCTCAGAGACAATTCCCGACTTCATTTTCCCCTTACTCAGGCCTGCCCCCACTTACCAGGTCTCCACCCCCCATGGTGGTGGAGACGTTTCCTCACTCTTCGGCTGGAGACGAACTCAGGGAAGATCCAGGGCAAGCGTAGGGAGACGGCTCCGAGACCCCCTCACGGGTTGCGTTCCCAGAAGGAACTAGCAGTCACTTTCCGAGCCCGGTCTAGAGAGCACCTCCGGGAATGACGTCATAGTGCCGCGCCGCGGTCGCGGAGAGATTACGTAAATCACTCAGTGACCAGGCGGGACCCAGACGGTCCTCTTGTGCTCACTGCCTGGTTGGAGTTTCCCAGCTGTGAACATACTACAGCTCAGCTGGACGCCGGTGACTCACGCCTGTCATTTTAGCTTCTCGGGAGACTGAGTTTTGAGGGTCTTGAGTGGAAACCAGGGAAAGTCCAAGGGACTCATGGCCTGTTAACCAAAACAGCCAGAAGTGGAGCTGTGGCTCAAGTGACAGAGATCTAGCCTTGAGCAAAAAAAACTCAGGGACAGCGTCCAGGCCCTGAGTTCAAGACCCAAGATCGAAGAAAAAACAAAAACAAGCAAAAAAAAAAAATCTTGTGCTCTGGCCATTGCATTCGTAGTCCCGTTGCTATGACAGCGCACCAAGATTCTTCCCTCCCCACTATCGTGCCTCAGGCCGGTTTCCCTGGACACCCAAACTGATCATCTTACTCCACGCCTGTTTAAACTAGGTGGTCTAGAATATGCCAGGGTTGGAAGAGTGGCTCAAATGGTAGAGCACCAGTCAACCAAGCTGACCAAGCATAAGGCCCTAAGTTTAATTACTGGTACTGATAATGGAGTTCTGTTTTGGAATGATAAAAATGTTCTGAAATTGTGTTAGTGGTTGCATGACTAAATATACTCAAGATCATTGAAGCCAGGAGCCAGTAGCTCATGCCTGTAACCGCAGGTACTCAGGAGGCTGAGATCTGAGATCAAAGTTCAAAGCCAGCCTGGATAGAATAGTCCATGAGACTCATCCCTAATTAATCACCAAAAAGGATGGAAGTAGAACTGTAGCTCAAGTGATAGAGCACTAGCTTTGAGCATAAAAGGTCAGGCACAGTGCCCAGGCCTTGAGTTCAAGCCCCAGAATGGATACAAAAACAAACAATAAAAAACACAGGCCTGGTACCAGTGGCTCAGGCCTATAATTCTACCTACTGAGGAGGCTGAGATCTGAGGGATCTCCATTCTAAGCCAGCACAGGCAGAAAAGTCTGTGAGACTCTTTATCTCCAATTAACCCCCAGAAAACCTAAGTGGATCTGTGACTCAATGTGATAGAGCACTAGCCTTGAGCAGAAAAGCTCAGGGACAGTGCCCAGGCCTTGAATTCAAGCCCCATGACAAAAAAAAAAAGGAAAGAAAGGTTTTCTATGCTTTTTTTTTTTTTTTTGGTGCTGAAAGTCAAACCCAGGGTCTTGCAGATGGCTAGGCAAGTGTTCTACACTGAATTGAATCTCCATCCCTGAATTTTATAATTTTTTTGTGGGGGGGACAGTTGTGGGGCTCAAACTCAAAGCCTAGACACTGTCCCTAAGCTTTTTCACTCAAGGCTAGTGATCTACCACTTCAAGCCACAGCTCCACTTCCAGTTTCCTAGTAGTTTTTAATTAGAGATAGGAGTCTCATAGATGGCTGGGCACCGATGGCTCACACTTGTAATCCTAGCTACTGAGGAGGCTGAGATCTGAGGATCGCAGTTCAAAGCCAGCTTGGACAGGAAAGTCCGTGAGACTTATTTCCAATAAACCACTAGAAAACCAGAAGTGATGCTGTGGCTCAAGCGGTAGAGCACTCACCTTGAGCTGAAGAGCTCAGGGACAGTGCCCAAGCCCAGAGTTCAAGCCCCATGACCGACAAAAAAAAAAAAAAAAAAAGGCTTATGGACTCTTATGGAGTAGCTAGGATTACATGTGTGAGTCACCAGTAGCTGGCTGAATTCTGCATTTTGGGGTAAAATGTTAAAGTATGCAAATAATATCAATAGTTATTAATGAAATCAGTATCATATTCCATAAATAAATACAATATTAAATGTTAAATTTAATATTAATGGTTAGGAATGTGGGCTAGTGGTAGAATGCTTGCCTAGCATGGATGAAGACCTGGGTTCCATTCCTCAGTACCTCATAAACAGAAAAAGTCAGAAGTGGCTCTGTGGCTCAAATGGTAGAGCAAAAGAAGCTCAGAGAAAGCAGGGTACCAGTGGCTCATGCCTCTAATCCTAGCTACTCTGGAGGCTGAGATATGAGGATCGTGCTTCAAAGCCAGCCCAGGCCAACTTATCACCAATAAACCACTAGAAAACCAGAAGTGATGCTGTGGCTCAATCGGTAGAGCGCTGGTCTTGTGCTAAAGAGCTGAAGACCGACAAAAAAAAAAAAAAGAAGAAGAAGAAGAAGCTCAGAGACAGTGCCTAGACTCAGGCCCAGTTCAAGCCCCAGGACTGTTAAATACTAAATCTACACATGTTCCCTTTGATTAAAACGTGGAGATTCAGCCGTGGCCTGGTATGTTAAATAGTGGAAGGATGCCAGAGGTAGGGGGATCATGGTCTGAGGCCTGCCCAATGCAAAAATGAGAGGCCCTACTTTAAAAAAGAAAACAAGGGTCTGGGAAGGTGGCTCAGTGGTAGAGCACTTGCCTTGCATGCATGAGGCCCTGGGTTCGATTCCTCAGCACCACATAAGCAAAAAAGAAAAAAACCTGGAAGTGGCGCTGTGGCTCAAGTGATAGAGCGCTAGCCTTGGGCTGAAGAGCTGAGGGATAGTGCCCAGGCCCAGAGTTCAGGCCCCACAACCGGACCCAAAAAAAGAAAAAAAGAAAAACAATATTTTTTTGAAGGCATGGAGGTGTGACTGAAGTAGTAGAGTGTCTAGCAAGTTGAAGGCCCTAAGTTTAAACCTCCAGTAGTACCAAGAAAGTAAAAAAAGACATTCAGGGCTGGGAAGGTGGCTCTGTGGTAGAGCGCTTGCCTTGCACGCATGAGGCCCTGGGTTTGATTCCTCATCACCACATAAGCAGAAAAAACTGGAAGTGGCACTGTGGCTCAAGTGGTAGAGTGCTAGCCTTGAGCTGAAGAGCTGAGGGACAGCACCTAGGCCGAGGTCAGGCCCACAACCAGCAAAAAAAAAAAGAAGACATTCAGACATGTTAGAAAGCTAGCACCAAATAAGACTTTTCCTTAAGTTCCTCAAGAAGAAAAAGGTTTGAAAAAGGGAATTTTTTTAAGGGGTGGGGGAGTTGGTCATGGGGTTTGAACTCTGGGCCTGGGCACTGTCCCTCAGCTCTTCAGCTCAAGGCGAGCACGCTACCACTTGAGCCACAGTGCCACTTCTGGTTTTCTCAGTGGTTTATTGGAGATGAGAGTCTCACAGACTTTCCTGCCTGGGCTGGCTTTGAGCCGTGATCCTCAGATCTCAGTCTCCTGAGTAGCTAGGATTACAGGCGTGAGTCACCGGAGCCTGGCTTAAAAAAAAAAAAAAAAGGAATTTTTTTTCACTCTGCAAATACTTGCAGTGCCCATCATCCCACACTTGGGGCAAACTAATTTGTGAGATGTAAAGCTACAGTGTGCTCCCAGTGTTCCATCCATGGAAGCAAGGCTTATTAAATGGCAAACGAGGGACATATATAGTGGTTATGTGTTTTTAATCAAGCTACTCATTAGTGCAAGACTTCTCTATAATTCCTGGCTGTTATTTCCTGTGCCTCATTTTTCCTGATCTATCCTGCCTCAGAGCCAACATAATACCCATACCACAGTCCAGCAGTGGACTCTTCCTGGGACAAGACATTCAACTGTTCTTCATCCCCTTTAAAGGAAATGATCCAATTTTTGTGTTCTTCCACACAAATAGACCTTCTTTCTGCTGTGCTGTGATCAAACAAGGGCCACATACAGAAGACAAAGACTGACCATTGAGCTACATCCCCATTCTTTTTTCAGTACTGACACTTGGTAAGCAGGCATTCTGTGAATTCACCTCCAGCTCCTTTGTTGTTGTTGTTTTGTTTTGTCTTGTTTTGGTTAGTTGTGGGGCTTGAACTCTGGGCCTGGGCTCAGCCCCTGAGCTCTTCAGCTCAAAGCTAGTGCTCTTGGGGCTGGGAAGGTGGCTCAGTGGTACAGCCCTGTGGCTCAAGTGGTAGAGTGATAGCCTTGAGCTGAAGAGCTGAGGGATAGCGCCCAGGCCCAGAGTTCAGGCCCCATGACTGTACCAAAAAAAAAAAAAAAAAAAGCTAGTGCTCTTGCATTTTGAGCCACAGTGCCACTTCTGGCTTTCTCACAGACTTTTCTGCCTGGGCTGGCTTTGAACAGTGATCCTAAGATCTCAGCCTCCTGAGGAGGTAGGAGTAGGATTACAGGCATGAGCCACCAACACTCTGCACCAGCTCCTTCCTTTTATCTTTTCTGTGTGTGTGTGTGTGTGTGTGTGTGTGCTAGTTCTAAGGTTTGAACTTGGGGCCTTTGCACTCTACTCTTCCTCAGTTTTTTTTCTGCTCACAGCTGGCACTCTCACTTGCAACACACCTCCTATCTGGCATTTTGCTGATTACCTGGAGAGAGAGATTAGAATATTTATTTGCCCAGGCTGGCTTTGAACCATAATCTTTAGATTTCAGCCTTCTAAGTGTCTAGGATTATAGGTATGAGCCACTGGTGCCTGGCTTAAAACCTGTCTTTCCATAGACACAAGCAAGAAAACGTCTTTCTTCTGACAGCTAGACTTTGTATGTCTACACTATTCAAAAATAGGTACTGAAAGAAGTTTCACCTTGGCCAGGCGCCGGTGGCTCACGCCTGTAATCCTAGCTACTCAGAATGCTGAGATCTGAGGATCTCGGTTCAAAGCCAGCCCAGGCAGGAGAGACCGTGAGACTCCTATCTCCAATAAACCACTAGAAAACCGGAAGTGGTGCTGTAGCTCAAGTGGTAGAGAGCTCCTCTTGAGCTGAAGAGCTGAGGGACAGCGCCCAGGCCCA